AGAGGTAAAAGTTTCTAAAAGAACCAGTTTATCTAATGCGTATTTTTGGATATCGAGTTTTTACGAAATATAAAAGTTATGGCAAAAATGGCTTGAGGGGTGGTTATTTCAACCCCTTTCGAGGGGTTAAAATTTTCGAAAAATAATTGAAAACTCGCATCTGTATTAGTAAACGACCTGTAAAAAATTTGTTATTTGTACCTCAATCGGTTTTCAAATTACAGCCAATTTTCATAATTTTTTTGGTAACTTTGATGGCCCATATCTCTTCAGGGGTGAACATTTTACTAAGGCGATTTTTTGCAGATCGTGTTCTATTGAAATGTAGATTCACTGGTATCATTTATGCTATTCCATTCAAAAACACCCTGTATATACCTGACCTAATAGCGGTTTTACATTGACAATTTATTCATGAATAAATTGACGAAGTTCTTCATGAATTAGTTAATAGTTCTACCAAAAAATCAAAGAAGCAAATAAATTTCAAAAATGTCACCTTTTCTCTCATAATTGTAATGATACAACAGTGGTATCGTTTTAACACATATTATATAAATATTAGTTTTTGTAAGTAACAAATCAGTAAAAACAATGCAAAACTAGTACAACACCACACAATTATTTACATATTCCTATAACATAACCCCATTACTGATCTGAGACTGAAAATCTGTTGGATTGGTACTTCTGAATTTGACGAAGAAATTGATGGAAATTAGAACATGTTCCAATTCGTCAAGAACTTGATGAATAAATTCATGAAGTTATTTGACAGCAGATTTAGTGTATGACACTTGTCCAATTTCTTGATGAAGCGACTTCATGAATTAATTCATCAATAAATTGTCAATGTAAAACAGCTATAACGAATGTTACATAGTTCAATCCAAAACCCAAATGGTGTTGATTTAACCAAGCTTCCTTAAACGAAAAATGTGGCAAAAAAGATACGGGGTGCTAAAGTTTCTTTTTTTTATTTCTTGTTTTCTCCTTAACTCAACATTTTTAACCGATTTGAGCACAATTTGCTGTTGTTTGGTTTCTCTTCATGAAGTATGCAGTAATTATGTTCCTATTAGGTTAAATCATATAGTGTTCATTTTACTACAACCTTTTGCGAATATTCTTTTGTAACTTTTTTGTACGTTTAAATTTACTTGTAACTATCAGAAATAGGTAGAGAATTTTATGCTACACAAAAATGTATACCTATCAAAAGTCGAAATTATGCTTGGTTGTGAAAATACTACAGAAAATATGAAACACATATGCTATATATTTTGGAAATAACTATCAATAATAAACATAATAAATAACATAATAAACTGAAAGATGGCAGTAATAAAAAGTCTACTAATTTATAATAAATGTTTTACGTGTTCCCCATTCTCTTCGAAACATTTCCTTAAACGTTTTATGAAACTGTTGAGAATAGGAAACGAATTATACATTTGTCTAACTTGTCGTACGTCGTCTTTTATTCTATCCCAAAGTTCACCCATATTAGGTGTTACAAAATTGTAAAGAAATCCTTTCAAATGACACCAAATGGCTGTAATGAGCAGGGGCACCATCGTGCATGAACCACATTTGTCATCTATATTACTGGGTACTTCTTTGAGAGCCCCAAGAAGTTCTTGACGAAGGAATTCCAAATAATTTTGGCTGTTCAACCTTGCAGGTAGAGCGATAGGCCCCAAAATAAAATTCCTATAATCTTGCACCTGACATTAACTGAAAATTCATGTTGGAAATTATGCTCTTGCGGGGATTTTCTTCGCTCTACACGTAACAGTTTTTCCAATTAAAAACACCTCTACAGGTAAAAACAGCTTCATCTGTATAGGCAATTCTTCTGAGAAGAGTGTGATCCCCTGGAGAAATCTTTCACAAAATGTTAATCTCAGGGGGCGATCTGGTCCAAGCAAATTTTGTATAGGCTGAAAATTGAAATATTGTAACTAGGTACTGTATGTGGAGTATAGTTGAAATGGTTTTACAACCAACTCTTCTGACTATTAACAAACGACGAATACTAATTTCAGGATTTTCTTCTACTCTTTCTAGAATTTGTTCTTCGTCTTGTACCCTTCTTTGAAGATACCTTCCATTACCTGAATTAGACCAAAAGTTTCCTGTTTCTCCTAACCTGGTAAATAAAGAAGCAAACAATCTATGAGAAAGCTGTCTGCGATTCAGATAAAGTTCTTCATGTGTTCTCTTAGCAGTGCGTCCACTAAAATGTTCCTGTACATATACATACCACTATCACGTCTCTCATTTCATAAATCATAAATTCATTGTGATGAGGCATTTTCAGAAACAATGACATCGAAATTGTCATGTTATGGATACGTGGTTATTTCCAAAAAATATAGGATATGTGAATAAATATTTTTTGTAATATCTTCATAACCGAGCATGATTTTAACTTTTCATAGGTATACATTTTTGTGTAGAATAAAATTCTTTACCTATTTTTTGCAAGTTGCGTGTACAAATTTAAACTTACAAAAAAGTTACTAAATAATATTTACAAAGTGTTGTAGTATTAAGTAAAATGGTTAACTATTGACAAAAACTTTTATGTAAAATATAATTGTTAACAGCAGTATTTACTGACATTGCTATTAGGTTATTTGATTGCTGAAAAAATGTTTAACCTTTTTTGTAATAATAATTAAATGTCATTAGTTTCTCAAACAATGTTGGGCAATCCGGCAGCTTATTTCTCTTAGATTTTAAACTCAATTAAAAATTGCTGTCAGTTTGTTTAGTCTTAACTAGCTGATAAGTCTGAATATACCCGTAAATCCTGTAGCGTTCATAACACCATCAATAACTTTTGTTTACAAATTGTAGTTTGTACAATAATTATATGTATATTTTGTTAGGGATTGTCAAATTTTATCAATGACACTAAATGAAGTTGGTTTTGAAAATGTAGCACTTCATGCAATGATTACACAACTGCAAAGACTTGCAGCGTTAACAAGGTTCAAAAGCAACACTGTTACAATCTTACTAGCTACAGATGTAGCAAGCAGAGGATTAGATATACCAACAGTTGAACTAGTAATCAACCATACAATTCCAAAAGTTCCTAAAGAATATATACATAGAGTTGGTAGAACTGCAAGAGCGGGTCGAGGTGGAAAAGCTATTACTTTGATTACACCATACGATATAAAAATGTTACAAGCAGTTGAAAAGGAAATAAACATTAAACTGACTGAAATCAAAGTTGATGGTAATATATCATACCAATTTACTATTCATTTTATATGTATATATATTCTTTTTTTTTTTTTCAGATAATGAGGTTAGTCAAATATTTACACAAATATCTGTAACCAAAAGTGAGGCACATATAAAATTAGATGAGGATGATTTTTATGAAAAAAAGTTGATTAACAAAAGAAAAAAATGGATTTTGGAAGGTTTGGATCCAGATGAGGAAGAAAGCAAAATGCTTAAAAGATCCAGGAAGAAGAACACCAAGAAATTAAAGAAGAAATATAATAATAAACTTTTTATAAGTAACGATGGAAACAGTTAATTGTAATAATAAATATCTTAATTTTTATGTTATTGGGTATTGTTTAATTTTATGAACAATTAATTCAGAAAAAAAATCAACAATTTTAGTAATTTACAATTTGTAGAACTAAAATCGATAAATAAATATACAGGGTGTTTCAATTAAAATTTCCTACCTGGAAAATATCGAAATTGAAAAAAAAAAACAAAAAAACCTGACACTTCGATTTTCTTTTCAAGGGAGATGCGTAAATTTTGGTGTCTTGGAAGTTACCCTTAGCAGAGGCGTAAAATACTCTTAAACTTTAAGCCGCACTCTATCATATCATTTTATAGCTTTTCAAGTCTGCTGATGACAACATAAGATCTTTTAAATTTGGGTGTGGATATGACAATAAAATCGTCACTTAAAGTATAAGACCAAATATCTGAATGAAAGAATGTTATTACATTTTCAAATTGGTTTTCCTCTGCCTCCATACAAAAATAAAATCTTTGCTCCATTTTCATAACATTTCAAAGCATTTTGTGCATTATCTGACGTCATTCTTCTACAATTCGCCGATGAAGCTCCTCAAGTGAGTTCGGTCGTGTTACATAAATTTTCAAGTTTAAGTGTCCTCATAGGAAAAAGTTTAAGGGCGTTAGATCTGGCGATGTGGGAGACCACTCATTTGAACCTCTGCCTCCTATCGAGTGATTTAGAAAGTTCTGATTAAGAAAATCACGCACAGCTATGGCATAATGTAGTGGAGCACCAACCTGCTGAAACAACACTGCCTCTTCTGGCAAACCATTATCATTTTCCAATACTTCCACAATCATGGGGTAGATATTCGTTTCCAGTAGATTCAGATGCATGTTTCATCCAGAGTTTTCGATAGGAAGAAAGGTCCTATGAGGTGGTCTCACAGTATGCCCGCCCAAACTGAATTTCCTCGGATGTCTCATGAGTTTCATGAAAAACGTGTGAATTTTCATCACTCCGGTTACGGCAACTATGGTGGTTGACTCGATCATCCAGTTGAAAAAACAGATTGAGTACTCATTTATTCACAGAACTGCAAATGGCGATCAGGATCGTCTTTATTAATTTCTTGTATCAAATTAATTTTGTATCAATGATACTTATGAATTTTTAAGATGCGGCGGCAACTAGGTACAAAAAAAGTATTTTAAGTTTCCTGAGATTCAAATTTGGTTCCATTGCGATATGACCCAGAACAGCTATCTGATTACCCTCATTATGTACAACCTATTCAAGTTAATGCTTTCGTCTGTTTGCAACCAATCCAGTTTCTGAAAATTTATGCACTAAATCTAGGACGTCAGGATAACGATCATTAAAAATCTGTGCTGCCTGCTGTGCAGTCATTATTCTTGTAGAACAAACTAATTATTTCCACTTTTTCAGCATTTGTATGAACTATTTTCATGAATTGGAATTCAATGAACTTTGTGGTGATTTGTCTCGTTTCTCGTTTAAAGTAAAACAGTTGAACTCATAGAGTATGAAGTTTTTGTATTGACAGATAAACGAAAAATCAATTTTTTTAATCAAGAAACTTGGGGTGCCATTTAAAGTTTAAGGGTATTTTACGCCCCTGCCTAAGGGGTAGCTTCCAATACACCAAAAGTTATAAGAAAACCGACATCTCAGGTTCTTTTTGTTTTTTTTTTAATTCCGATATTTTCCAGATGGAAAGTTTTAATTGTAATACCCAATACAGATGCTCCGAAAGCCAATTGGTTATACTTCAAATGTAGCTTAAATTGAATGATAATTAATTTAAATAAAGTTACCTTGTTATAATTTTGCTTCATAAAAAGTTGTAGGGTCTAGAAAAAGTTTTTATTTAATTTTTTATTTTAATAAAATTTAGTACTGGAAGATTTTTAAGGTAGCCAAATATGGGCTTATTTCTTGCCTAATTGTAAGTTATTATATATTTTTCTTCTTCAAAATCTGGAAACTTCTAAACTATTTTTAATTAGACATTGGTTAATAAGATTCTGCTGCTATAGCTTTCTCTGCATTTTTTTCACGTGTATCACCCTTTATGGATTTAGTTACAAGATTTTTAAAAGTGACACAAATCTGATGGAACTTATAGGAATCGCAGAACTACTACAGAAGGCAATAACTGATGTCTTTTGTAGCTGAATTTTCAAATCATATTCAACTGTCAAAATAAATATTAGTTATTGGTTGTATTCCAGATTTCAAGTAAATAAAAACATGACTATTTTCATTAGTTTTATAATCTAGTAGTAGACATGTAGATCAGTTTCTATTTCTAGTAGTTGTGATGTGTGCAGTTGCAATGAAAATGTCACAAAAAAAAAGAATATAACTATTAACTGTAACTAAAAAATAAATGAGTATGCATCAGTGCAACCTCATTAAGCGGAATCTCAGTAATTTAAATTCTTCAATAATTTGAATAGGCACTTATTTACCTACCATAATGTATGTTGCAAGCCGAATTGTCCTTTGGTTTTAAAGTAGGTAACTACATTAACATTGTGAATCACATCGTGAAGCAAACGATAATTACAGATATATTTCACAAATAATTATACATTTGTAATTAATTATTCTTCTTGTTATTCATACTCGTATTTTAATTCTTAAACTTTATAAACCTGGTTATAAATTCACAGAATCAATAAAAATTTTAAGGTCATATTTTCCACAATTTAATTGTTGACCATTTAAATAAAGTTATTGATAAATACAATACCTTTTACTTGTAAATGGCAATAATTGTAATTTAAAAGTGTTTTAAAAAGTGTAAACTGAACTCGTGAATGAATTCTCAGTACATTGTACTGCGGCTGATGAAAAATGTCATATGTTTTATAAATAGGTATGGACCCATACTCTGTTATTTAGAGGATATAAGGATCTCGAAAAGGGTTGCACGTATATGCATAAAATATTTGTTTTGTATTTTTTTTATCAATACATTCAGTAATAAATACAATTAGATCTTTTTTTGTAAAATTTTAATTTCAAATAGGAATTACTACAAAAAATAAAAAATGAACTTTGTGAGAAATAAAAACTAATCCTCAGTTGATTATGAAAAAAAATTTTTGCAGGTATACATGCAAACCTTTTTCAAGTTCCCATATGGGCACCCCTATTTTAATTCTTTATTTTGCAAATTATGTCCGAAATTTCTTCATCACAAAAGTTCTTTTTGTGGGACCAGAAATCATCTAAAGTATGGCATATGGGTCCCATGCTTTAAAAAATATTGTTTTAATAAAATTAGCCAAAGCGAATGCAAAAAAAGAGAACAAGTATATGATAAAATAAAATTATAAAGTGAGATATAGCAACAAAATAGGAAAACTATAAGTCAGTTAAAAAGTACAATTAAAAATGAAGAAAAGAACACCTGTCTAACAAAAGTAGAAACAGAAAAAACTTAAGTGATTTGGAAAATTGTTATCGATTAGCAATGAACAATGAAAGCACTATGTGCATAATTTGTTCTATGCACAGGAACATGAAATTAGCCATTTCCTCTGAAATTCGATTTTGGAGAACAGGGAGGAACAAGATAGTTTACATGCAATTGACAGTCAAACAGTTTTAAGTCATGTTTTTTTTTGCATACAGAAAGTGGCAAATATGAAAATAGTTAAAAAATCGTTGAACATTGTTAACCTGGAAATTACTTTTAAAGTTTCTTTTTAAGATTTTTCTGCTGTACTAATTCTAACTCCAAAGTATGTCAGTTATACAGGGTGTTTCGCATAAGAACCGAAACACAGCAGGGGCCATGCAGGGGAACCCAAAATATGGTGATGTAACACAAGTTACCTTTATACTAAACACAACCCCTGAGAAGTTATAGGCCTTAAAAGTGGAAATTCAAGTTTTGAAAGAAATCAATATCTCTCTTAATTCATAGCCAACTTTTGAATTTTCGATAATTTTAAATAATACACCTAAAATACATTGATATATTAATTTTTTTTTTATTTGAAACCCCACACTTTGAAGGCCTATAACTTCTCTATAGGTATTCTCTAACTCTATAGGTATAGATTATTCTCCTATTGAAATTTACCAAAATCTGAAGTATTATTTTTATAATTGAGAATAATTTCAAGTTGTCAGCAAACGATAAAAATTTACAATGGAAGAAGCACTATCATTTAAAGAGATGTTGAAAACGGAAGGACTCGTATAATTGAGAACCTTTTAGAGACATGTCAGATACCCCAAGCATCAATATAACTAACGATGTGTGTAATATATCTTTGAATGATTTTGAAATTAAATCATAATTTGAAATTCTACAGGATGAGTCGCACAGAACACACCAAACATCAAATGTGCATTCTCCATGTAAAAATAGTTAAAAAAAACAGTATTTATAATCCAGTTTTTCGTTCATTCTCAATAAGTCATTGCATCATACAAAATTCCTTATGACATATACATTGTTCAATTGCATAATATTTTTGCAATGAATGGTTATATTTTCTTCGTATGTTTTCAAGTTACTGTGTCTTAAATTAAGAAAATATAGGTCAAAATATTGTATTGATTACCTACTCGTTTTTGAAAAATTTATTAGTTGACTACACACATTTAAAGCACAAAATTGTTTACTAGTTCTTATTGCCTGTGCATGCAGTAGTACCAGTATTCTGATTTAAATTCTGTAATTAAAAAATATTTTTAATAATTTTTCTTCGAAGTATAAATATTACAGTATATTGTCAAATAACTAAAAAATAAGTTTTAAAAAATGCCAATGCATATCTTGAATATGCAAATATACGAATATACCTAATAAGTATATTTCTTTTATTTTTTTTGTAATATATATGTAGGGTGTGTAAGACAATTTTTAAGAGAGAATAAGTCAGAAGATATACATAACTAAAAACATATATGGAAACTCATATATTGTGGCATAGGGGTGCCATTTCGAATACATTTCATAAAATTAATTAAATAAATTTTACATTATATTTATAGATTTTTACAAATTGCTAATTTATACTAAAATGCTACATAAAAAAGTCATCTTTATTATAACATTTCAAAAGTGACTAAAATACTTTTCATTGGCATATGCCATATACAGGGTGTTTTTTGGAATGGAGTAGCATAAATGATACCAGTGAATCTACATTTCAAAAGAACACGATCTGCAAAAAATCGCCTTAGTAAAATGTTCACCCCTGAAGAGGTTGCTCATTTAAGAACTGCAAATATTCAACAGCACCAAGTCGATGAGGTAAAACAAAAGGGCCGACAAGCACATTTTCTACAATTCCTGCCCGAATGTTTAAACTAAAATTATGTTGAAATGTTGTCATAGATACTTTGTGAGGATTTTCATGAGCCCAGGAATGAAGATTGTGCATATTGGTTAAACCATGTCTTTGAAAAGTTGCTTCATCTGTGAAAAGTATCTTTGAGGCAAAATTCAAATTATTTCTTAGAATATTAAGATATAGTACGAACAGTAGGTCTTCGGCCGGTACCCTCAATATGCGGCTGTATTTTTCCAGTTTCCCGAAGTCTTCGTTCTACCGCCAAAAAAGTTTGTCTGTGGGGAACTTGACGATTTGGATATCTCTCAGTATACGCTCTTGTTGCCGCAGCACAGTTTTTGCGACATTCAAAATACACACACAACAGTGACAACTTACAGAAGAGTTAATTGTGACAACTGGCATGACACAGCACACTTAGTTTTTCTTTGATTGATTGCAATCATATACGGTGTGAGGTGAATGGTAATACATTTTATTTTTTTTATTAATAAACGAAAAGTTTTAAAGGAAAATTGCTAGAGAGGTAAAAGTTTCTAAAAGAACCAGTTTATCTAATGCGTATTTTTGGATATCGAGTTTTTACGAAATATAAAAGTTATGGCAGAAAATGGCTTGAGGGGTGGTTATTTCAACCCCTTTCGAGGGGTTAAAATTTTCGAAAAATATTTGAAAACTCGCATCTGTATTAGTAAACAACCTGTAAAAATTTGTTATTTGTACCTCATTCGGTTTTCAAATTACAGCCAATTTTCATAATTTTTTTTGGAAACTGATGGCCCATATCTCTTCCAGGGGTGAACATTTTACTAGGGCGATTTTTTGCAGATCGTGTTCTTTTGAAATGTAGATTCACTGGTATCATTTATGCTACTCCATTCAAAAACACCCTGTATAATCTTTGAGAAAAATATAACTAGCATACGATATGAGTTGAAACTTATTTTTTTTTACATTGAATGCCATTTATGCACCAAATTTTTTTTCAATATCTTATTTGTTTGGATAATATATAACCTGTGTACCTTAAAAAAGAAATCAATTTCAAGGGTAACTAAATACAATAGTCCTATTAATTAGCCTCCTAGATTCCCAGATTTCATAATTGAAGTTTCATTTATGGAGCAAATAATAAAAGTCGGTAATTGTGATGCACTATATTGGGAAGTAATAGAAAATAATGCTGTAGCTGATATAGGTAACAAACATAAAATAACTGTTAAAATTTATTATAAGAAAGCTACAATTAAAACAATGCCTGTATGATATTTTATCATGCTGCTATAAAATGAAAACAAATCAAATCGGATAACAACATTTGAGTTATTTTTAATTCTTTCATCACGGCTTATCCTATATAAATTTCGTTTTTTTTTAATCTTTCCCTTGCAAGAGTCAAATTTTTAGAGTACAGCAGGAAAAGAAATAGCAATAGTTGCCCCTTTAAACTTGTACCCTTTACCCAACAAACTCTGATTTATAATATAGGTACTACAAACTCTACCTAATCTATGGGTACTATACTTACATAAATATTATAGTGTCCAGATATTCCGAACGTTGTAGGATTAAATTTAAAATAAATATGTATATGGGAAAGTCATTTTATCTCAAAAAAAGATTTTAAAGATATATTGCAAAAAAATAGGTTCTATATCTCTCTTCTTCTAAAACTTGTATGGCGGCTTAACCCAATTTCTTGTGAAGTTCTTATTTATGTTCATTGGTTTATTTTTGTTACAGTACTGTATTTGCGTTATAAATTTATAACCTTTAACATTTGAAACCATTTAAATGCAAGGACTTGTAGGTAACATTTAGGTATTTACAAAGTGCTGATGAGAACAGTTTTATAAAATTTTAACAACATTTAAAATTATTAAGTGTTTAAAAACAACTCCGGGTGTTCAGAAATAGGAGTATCTAGAGATTTGAACACAATGATTATATAAAACTTAAATTTACAAAAACGCAGCCGTAGCTTGAGCAGTTTCTATTTTTAGTATATGACTAATATATTATTTTTTTATCTATAACTAAGTTCTTAGAAATAAATTTTATAGTAGGTATCTAGATAATTAAATAAATTACTTAAATTTGAAAATGGAAAACATAGTTTTAATAAAGCTATTTAACTGAAAATTTATAGCAGTAATCCAAGCGCTGGTCAATTTTTGCTTTTAAATTCAAATATAGGGAATTCAATATTGTTCGGTTGTTTGACAATTAAGCACATGCGCGATAACCTACAATTTCGCTGCAGCCATTTATGTTGATCGCATTTTATCAAGTGTAATTCGAAAAATTCAGGTAAACAGCTAATTGTCCTGCAGCGCATAATTAAATGATCGATGATTAAGTATCAGGTGGTATGGAAGATAAATTGTTATTTTTCTACAAATTCTTTTCAAGATGTATCACTTTTAAGTGCCACCTAGACTATAGGCCTGGGGCCTTGTTTTACATGCTTTGTGAAGAACGTACTTAGAATATCTCAGGAAAAACATATTGTGAGCGATTAAGTTTAGAACGAAAACTTATAACATTTGGAACAGATAGTTTTTAGTATCTAAAAATAGTTACCTCCATTTTTGTATATAATATGTTTCAATATGATTTCATTATTGTTAATAAATGTTAAAACTCGATCCACTTGACAGATCCACATTATATTCTTGACATATTTTTTAAAGTTCCTTTAAGATATATTTTTTTTCAGTATGACTGACTCCATGAATTTTGGTCCAGACTGGATTCGCAATTTATCTTCCGAAGGAAGTACTGGTGGTGGTACCAGTGGAGGAACCCGATATCAACTAGCTGATTTTCGGTAAGTTACATTACATTATTGCTTTATCTATAATTACAATATTTAACGCCATATTTAAAAGAAATTTGTGTCTACCAGGCATAGACCTAGTAAACTACTAGACTCGCCCAACTGTCATTTTGCTTATACAGGCTGTTACAAATTCGCTTCTCACTACAGGGATCTCGGAAACGGGAAGAGGTACGAAGTAACTGAAATGGGGGCAAAGTTGTGTAATCAGGGAACCAACATTATGCCTCTAAAAAATCAAGGCTAAAATGATTAGTTTTCAAAATATTTGAAAAAAAAAACGAAATTTGGAAATACGTTTTTGTTTAATTTCAGCCTTATTCGAGGTGATAGGTATTGAAAAAAGAAGAACACTTATGGCCACTTTTTGCCCTCTATCAAATGGCGTAATTAATTTTTATATGTAACCTTTTGTCTCTACAGAACTATCTTCAACTTCATTTTTTTAAATACGACCCTGGAAATTTTATTACATTTTTTGCAAATCTTCATGACCCCCAATACTGTACTGCCTCAGCCCGAACCAGATTTAGATGTTTTGTCTCGAAAAATTCATCGTCAGTGTATTCGTTCCAAATTTATCCAAATTTTTTATTTAGATTTCTTTGTTTATTGAATTATCGTATACTGTAAGTGTCGTTAGACCCTGTGAAATCCATCTAGTTATTTAAACTATTACCACCGTGCATTAAAATAATATCATTATTAGAGTTTTATTCCCGTGTCCATAGTTATTTCTAGGCTTCTCGAGTGCTCAAAATTCAAAGAAATTCCAATCTATTTTTTCAGGATATTCATACAAATACATCTGACATGCTCTTTCACAGTTGCAGTTACAGATATAATGAATTCCGATAATATTACGCTGATCTTCATTTTTAACCTTTGGCAAAACGAAAATGTTTTGAACATTTACTGAAATATTTTAAAGAAGAATATTCATTTGGCGTCTTGGTTGTTCATATGCATTTTTAAGAATTAATTTGTCATAATAAAATTAAAATTGTTATAATGTTTTAATTTTAACGCAACAACTTATTGTGTTATGTATGACCAAGTGATGGTAATAGTTAATAATAATAAATGTTTTATTGTAACGTGTGGTGGTAATAGTTTAAATAACTAGATGGATTTCACAGGGTCTAACGACATTTACAGTGTGCGATAATTCAATAAACAAAGAAATCTAAATAAAAAGTTTGGATAAATTTGGAACTAATACACTGAAGATGAATTTTTCGAGACAAAACGTCTGAATCTGGTTCGGGCTGAGGCAGTACAGTATTGGCGGTCACCAGAGCTGGGTAATTACTTGTAATTTAAAAATAGTTACAATTACAAATTACTAGTGATGTAAAATAGCATGCTATTTAGTTTTGGGTGATATATATCAAAATATATATCATTATATATATCAGATGAATTTTGTTAAAAAAAAACTATATTCAAATTAGTTTTTTTATATTGCTAATGCCTTGCTGATTAATTTGACACCAAATACATGCCATATATATGAACTTTAAGAAAAGTTATCAAGTGATCGTTATTTTTTTTTCATATTTAGATTGGAATTTTATATTTTTTTTATCATACTGACTTCTAATTTTTGTTGCATGCTACTGACTGTTTATAAGCAAGTACGCTCTTTATTAGCAATTTAGTTTTATCAACCCAGAAATAAAAAATGGGAAATTTCTAGAACAAGAAAATTTAGTCTTTGTATATCACAATACGTACTTAAAAAAAATTAAAGATAAAAATTGAAATAAAAATTATCAAAAACTTATGATAATAATGAAACTGCTTTAAAGTAGTACTTAAAAATCTGAAAATTTAGGGGTGTACTATAAATGGGGAGACCTAAGAGCGCACGTAATTTCAACTCACCCCTTCCACCCTAGGGGGTGGGGTGAAGGTTTTTTTTAGACGTACCCTATTTATTTTGCGATTTTCGGATTGTACGCGTAAAACTACCCCCAGAAACGCGTTCTTGGGGGTACGTCTAAAAGACCACCCCTCACCCCCTCTGCACCTACTAAGGTGGAAAGGGCCAGTTGAAATCAGGTTCGCTCTTAGGTCTCCCCACTTATAGTACACCCCTAAAATTTCAGATTTCTATATTTATTTTTGAAGGAGAAAAATGCTCATCGAAAAAACGACAAAATCCATACGAGGGTGGTGGTTTGGTTTTTGTGCGAATTCGGCAAGAACGCGCTTTCGGGGGTAGTTTTACGCATAGAATCCGAAACTCGCAAAATGAGTAGGGTACATCTAAAAAAACCACCCGTCACCCCCTAGGGTGGAAGGGGTGACTTGAAATTACGTGCGCTCTTAGTTCTTCCCATCTATAGTACACCCCTAAAATTTCAGATTTTTATATTCATTTTTGACGGAGATATTCCAGGTACCCAAGAGCTACTACAGTCCAACTCAAGCCTACCACACCACAAGTTTTTAGTTTTAAAATGTAAGGTTATGTTTGAAATTTGGCTTTATTCATGAAATGGCGGGAAAATTGATATATATCAGCTATTAACATAAATATAATAGCTGATATGTATCAAAAATTGATATATATCAATTTGTTATATATTTTCACTCACATCACTACATTTTACTTTAAAAAAAAAGGAACTAATTACAATTACAAAGTATATTCTTTAAAAAAGGAATTATATTAATTTAATTACAGTTACATGAAAAATGGATTTAGCAATTACTTTTCTAATTACTTTTCTAATTACTTTTATGATAAAGTAAATTATAGTGACCAAACAGAGAAAAAGGAAAAAGTTAAGTTAAAAATTTAAATTAAAAGTGTTGTGTAATATTGCGTTTTATTATTTATTAGAATTGATACTAAAATGAAAAGATTATTCTTATTCATTTTCTAATATAGAATTTTTATATTTTTATTCCTAATCTAATAATTTAAACTAGTTCAGTTCATACTATAATTTTATATTATTGGTCAGGTAATTAATTCAACCCGATGCTCTTTTTTTTGGTTGTTAGTACATTTGCAAAATATAGAATACAGTAGTTTTGGGTAGACTGGAAAGCAATAATTATTATTAAAAAAATTACGAATCGAACAAGTACGAGTGAAAGGCTGAGTAACCGAACCAGAAGTTTTCTCAACTCAAAATAAGAGCAGTAACACATAGATACATAATATATATTTTTATAAAACTTGATGCTATAGACAACATATTTTTACTTCGTATATTTTCTAAATTAATAATAATTATAATAAAATAAAATGTACTCTGTTAATTCTGAGGTTAATTCACCAAATCACTTTTTATTGTTCACGCGGCACAAGGCTTTCCTCAAATGAAATAATAGAAGTCTGCAAGTCTGTACGCAATTACGCAATACGCATGATCTTAAAAGTAATTATAATTATTAGAAAAAGTAATTGTAATTGGAAAAAGTATTTGTACATATAGAAGTAATTTGTAATTCGATAGTTCAAATAATATAATTACAAATTACAATTCCTACAACAATTTTGCTGTAATTACAATTCCAAATTACTTTAATAAAAAAAAGTACTTAAATACAATTACAATTACAGGAAAAAAAAATGGGAATTGTAATTACTAATTACTTTTTCACCAGGAATTACCCAGCTCTGGCGGTCACGAAGGCTTGCAAAAAATGTAATAAAATTTCCAGGGTCATATTTAAAAAAATGAAGTTGAAGATGGTCCTTGAGAGACGAAACGTTACATATAAAAATTGATTACGCCAATTGATAGAGGGCAAAAAGTGGCCATGAGAAAGTGTTCTTCTTTTTTCAATATCACCTCAAATAAGGCTGAAATTAAACAAAAACGGATTTCCAAAATTTCGGTTTATTTTTCAAATATTTCGAAAACTAATCATGTTAGCCTTGATTTTTTAAAGGCATAATGTTGGTCACTTGATTACGCAACTTTACCCCCATTTAAGCTACTTCGTACCTCTTACCGTTTCCGAGATCCCAGTAGTGAGAAGCGAATTTGTAACAGCCTGTATAAATGACAATCTCACGAAAGTGTGCGAGAGAGATAAAGCTAGTGCGGGCTTATACTTCGTTTACAGAACTTCAACTGTAGCGCACTACATTTAATTCAACTAATCAGCTAGTTTTTTACCCCTTTTTTCTGTTGGGTTGTATTCCCGTTTGAAGTTAAAATGATTTTAACTACATTCATGTGTGGTGGCTACACTGAAAGTATGGTTAAATTAAAAATTTTGAAAAATTGTTGATTAGGTTTTTAATTATATTCAGGTGAAAGGCAGAAGGGACAGTCGATGTATTTCGGATATACAAAGATTATAACAATAATATATAAAGACTAGAAGACAAAAAATTCCATTAAAAATGTGTAGATATATTAATTCTATGAGTAAAACTACACTTATGGTATTAAGAATTCTTTGTCATAACTCGAACAGAATTAAATTTTCTTTTTTTAATAATACATATGTATTTGTATGAGTAATTTTAATTATTATCAATAAATAAGAGCATAAGCACTATTTGCTTATATGGAATTTCTCTACAAATTGGAGGTATTAATGGGAGAATGTAATAATTAGAAATTTATAGTCAGATATTTTATTATACATATTAAAAAAATGTATGTATTTCTCTATTTATTTTTCTCTTATCGTAAGCTCGATCAGTTAAAATTACTGCAAGCTCTTCAGAAGTACTTAGTTGTTTTAAACAGTTCATATTATCTATAGCGATGCTTTCTTTTTCAACATATTATTTAAAGAGAAGTTTTACTGAAGCATATTATACGCACAATTCAGTTGAAACTGTTTATTTATATGTATTTAGTTTGATGATAAAAAATAATTTGAATAGTGATACATTTAATGGGGTAAAATTTTGACAATAAAATTAAATTATACTTTAAGAATTTGGGAAATAATATCAAATATGTTGTCATCAGAGACAACTCTACTTGGTCATTATTTTCAGAAAGATGCGA